AAGTTGCAATAGAAGCTTGATGAAGAAGAAAGAACAATAACAAAATGAAAGACATTTCAGATAATACTGGTTATTGTATATAATCTACAAAATGTTATATTGCTGTTAACCTCTACTATGTTTTATTTAAGAAAACACTTAAGAAAGCTAGCTAGAGCTGCTAATTGTCTTTCTGGAAAAATATCAAGCTTAAAGCTGTAGAAGTTGTATTTAATACTGTGTGCCTTCTGCACTTTTGTTTTTCATGCTACTAGGATTGGGTGTTCAAAATAAATGCCAAACCTGCATATGTGAGATTTTGGCATATACATGATTTTAATAATGCCAAGAACCACATGCCAGTATAGTGATAGTATTTGAGACACAAAATACTATTTACTTGGCTGAATTAGAAAACTGTCTCTCATGGAAAAAGATATTCAAAACAGGTACTCTAGCAATTTGCCTTTTCCTCATTAGTACATAATTTGTTTACGGTTCTCAGCCACTTCCTATTTTTTATTACTTTTTTAAATAGTCATATTTCACTTTGACCACGTGAAACATTTGGGAAAATGTTTTGAATTGATGATGATGATCAGCTACATATGGCAATTTAACCTGCATCATTTTGCTACAAAATATGTCTTTGTTTGGTTTCTAATAATAAAAAGTACATTTACTTTCATTTCTAAATCATAAGATATTAATTGTAAACAGGTGGGACAATTCTTCTGTAGTGTAATTGATGGGAAAGACAGAATGATTCATACTAGGATGCACTGGTTAAATTGGGTAGATATGATCTTAAAAATATCTAGACTTTCTAGATACTTGTTCTGCTTACTCATCTTGGTACTTTCCCTTAATCATTTTCTATATGTTATTACAGACATCTCAACAGTGAGCATGCGCTGGATGATAGAAGTACAGCTCAGTGTAGAGTACAGATGCAAGTTGTACAACAGTTAGAGTTGCAGGTAAATTATTATTATTTTATTATTATTAATTAATATTGCCTCAGTATAAATTTATATTAAAAGAGTGATTTTTGCTTTGTCTTATTCTAATTTGAAAAAGAGCTTTCAGAATTTATTAGATTAATTTCTAAATGCTATTGCAAAGATTGTAGATTGGCTTCATCTTTGCTATAACTTTAAAAAGAAATTAAAGCTTGAGTGCACTGAATTTTTTTTTGTAATTATCAATACATGTTGAATATGTCTTACATTTACATTTGGTGATAAATGTGTATGCACATGGTACCCAGAATGGATGGAAACAGCCCATGTTAGTTTTTAAATCTTGACCAAGATTAGATTGTAAATGACTTTACTCACTGACCTAGAACATTATTTTAAATATATACTTTACTATTATAATTGAAAACCCTGATTTATGTCAGTGCCCCAGTCTGTTTACAGGTAATCAGCTTCTAATGGATTTATTAAAGGAATATAATTAGAATCTATAAAAGACATGCAACTGCTATATTACTACCAGTATCAGGCAATTTAAAAAGACACCCATACCCAGTCTGAATAAACCTAAGTGTTTTTTGTGGCCTGACATTCTTTGTGTGAAAGAAGTAGGCAAAAGGACAACCAAAGATGACAAATTAACACAGTGTTGTACGTTAGATAGCTACCATTCCTCAAAAACATGTGGCCTATTTTTGTATGCAAGATGACACTGTAGAGATATATAGTAAGCCGTGGGCTAAGTGCAAAAAGATAATTACATTTGAAATTTTACTGAGTTAGTCGTTTAGAGCTTCAAATAGTTTTAGAGAAAAATCATCTTCAACTTTTTGTTGTTACTTTTCCTGATAATTATAATTTATATTTTACAACATAATTTACTTTTTAAAAATCCCATTTATCTTCTTATCTCAAGATTTTGGTTCCATAACCAATATTTTATTTCCTATAAAATTGTTGCCATGCCATCTCTATGATATATTTTCTCCCTTCCTTCCCCCCAACACCCCATTCCAAATAAAACAATGTTCAAAATACTAGTATTTCAATACAGTCAATAAAGAGCTGCAAAATAACCTTCTAGACATCTTCAATAAAAGCTAATTTCACTCAAGGTTAAAGGAAAGCAAGTTTCATTCAAGGCTCTCACTACTTGTATAAATGCACAAGTGCTGAAGTTGTAATTTCTGTTGTTCATTCCTTCCAACAGTTAAAAAGAATTGAAAATAATCTTTGTTCCCTTGTCCTCATTCAAATCCAGGTTTTATTCATTTAACTCAAGAAGTGCAAGGACTGAATTTGAATTTAGAGCACAGGTAGAAGGTTTTAATGGAAATAGAAAATTAGTCCCTGTCCAATTTATGAATTATTCTTTTGTGAGTTATATTTGAGTTTCCAGTTGCCAATCAATATCCACCAGTAAAGATGTATTATCTTTATTCTGCCCAGTGGCAATTTTATCATTCTGTCCTGGTATGCGACAGTAAAGGCTTTCCCGAAAATGTGAGCAGATCTTAATAACATCGATTAATTCCATAGACGGGCTCAATCTCCATAGGATAAGACAGTGATGGCGAACCTTTTAGAGACCGAGTGCCCAAACTGCAACTCAAAACCCACTTATGCATCATCGGGTGCCGGGTGGGTGTGGCCCATTGGGTAGGTGTGGCCCAGTGGGGTGGGCATGGTTGCGGTGGTAACAGCAGACTGGGTGGGACTAAAAAGTTCAATCAATCAATTCCAACTTTGTAAGATCTTTTTTTTTTCCCGCGAGAAGTTGAAATTGACTGATTGATTGAACCTTTTTTTTTGTACACTGAGGTGGAGGCCTAAAGTGAAAAGGTCTTTTAAAACCCAGTTGAAGGCCTAGGACTGGGACGACAGCGCACGTGCCCATAGAGAGGGCTCAGAGTGCCGCCTCTGGCACCTGTGCCATAGGTTCGCCACCACTGGGATAAGACTACCTACATACCAGTTTAGGATCACTGCAGGGGTAAAAATCTTTTTCCTAACATGAGGTACAGGAATACAATTAAAAACTGTCAAGGTCTATTTTCCAGGTGTAGTCAGGCCAGAGCCAAAAGTAGACTGAGTTGCAGCTGTTTCTTTGCAAAAGGCATTTGCATTAGCTCCCTGCCAAATTTCTGCAAGATTTCTTCCAACATTTACATGGCTGGGATGCAGGGACTTAATATTACTAGCCCAGGACAGAACTGTCAAAAAGACTCTGATCTAAAAGGTGTCCATGAATTCAGAATTAAACACCTGGAATTTCATTATCAACACCAGTATGTAGAACTGTGTTGAGAAACAGACTAGAATGTTTTTTCATGATAATGACTTGGTTCAAAAGTAAATATTATCCAACCACCATTACATGTGAACCTTTTTGGGGGGAGAAGGAGAGAGAAGGCTTTTTGGAAGGAGCTGTGACTGCTTCCTCACTGGTTAAAGCACTTATCTCATTCCGCTCCTAATTGTGATCATGTGATTATGAAGATGCTGCAACAGCCTCAACTTTGAGAACTAGTTACAAGGCTCCTCATTTAGTGTCCTTATAATTTCAAATGGTTACTGAACAAATGGTCATTAACAACCGAGGATTACCTGTATGTTGATTTTATTAGAGGAGCAGATACCCGTGGGATAAAATGGTTTGAATGTTCAATGTGGCCATATTTTCCTCTAGGAAGTCAACTTTTGTAATGTTTCTGAGGGGATTTTTGCACTTGTGTCGGAAGCCCTGAGGTGCTTCCAGGTTGAAAGGATTAGCCAGTGACATCATCGTTGCCTAGAGGATGCCCAGTTGGGGGCTCCTTTCATATTCCCAGCAAGAGCTGGAACAAAGGATGTGAGCTCACATACATAATCCCATGGCAAGACTTGGGTCTCAAATGTGACCTTGCTGCTAGTCAAACCAGCATCCTAACCACGCAAGCCATCATGCCCCGCAAACATTTCTGTTAATCAGGTTATTCTTGTTACTGATATGCTGAATTGGACAGGATCTTTATTCATACTAAGTCCAGCATGTTTTGTATTCCAACTAGACAGCGGAAGAGGTAATGGATCCCAGTTTTAGCCTCAAGGAAGATGATGGCACTATAAGAGAATTGATAACTCTTTTTCAAGAGCAGAACAATGAATCTGCTGTCCTGCATTGACTTATAATAATTTATAGTTGAGCAGTGTATAAAACCTAATCAGTTTTCTGATCATATAAAGTAGGAATTTGAAAATTCTTAATTTCAAATAGCTGGATTCATTTACATTTGGGTCCTGCTTCTTTTCAGAAGAACTGGGCATAAAATAATATACACATCTTGCCTCTTATCTTTCTCCTCATTTTCACTGAGAAAAAAAGTCTTCATTTCAATCAGGCAGAAGGAATAACTTTTACACTGGAGAAATTTTGCAGGCTGTAATTTAGTCAACAGTTGACAACATCATAGTGAAAAATATTTGGGTCAACCACTTCAAACATGTAGATAGATATGTAGAGCAACTGTTACTTTGCAGTGTTACCTGTAAGTCAGTAGGCTTCCAATAAAAAGATAGCCCTGTTCTCATTTGTGTGGTATCTCCCTCTTGTGTGAGTACCTCAGACAACTGTAGCAAAATCTCATGTGCACCTGAGGATAAGCCATGAATGCATTATAATAACCCCAAGATTATAATGCATGAATAGAGAAAGTGGGTTTGCCAGGTATTATTGGACTATGTCAACTTCCCCATGCCCACGTCTATGCTGACTAGACAAATATATGTATTAAAAACCATTAGCATTTCATCCTGGATTTTGACCTGGTGATTATGGAGGCATTATCACTTTCTTGAATTATTCAGAATGGCAAGAATTAGAAACTTGCTGGTATTGTTAAGAATGAGTATTATTGATGACTCCCATCTTTTCACTGAGGCTTTGGAAAGTTTAAAGTTAAATCCAAAAGGCAACTGGATTTTCTTGTTTTTTTTTTTCTTGAAAACATTTTGCTTCTCATCCAAGAAGCTGAATGGTGGGGAATAGAAGGATTCTTCAGAAACATACAATATTTTTTCTCCCTAGAGACAGTGAAATAATACTTTTTAAATGGTGCTGAATCATCAAGTAATTTTTATGTTTTTGTAAATGGTTTAGGCATATGAACTATCACTTTTTAAAACTTGTGAGATTGTAAAAATGTAAAGACCTCTCAAAAAAAAAAAGAACTTCATATTTCAACTTCTTTTTTTTTAATTTACTGGGGCTTCTACATTGCTCCAATACATTAGAGTTTGAATCATATGAATATGTCTGCCTGGATGTTTCATCAACAGAGTGAAAAGGCTGGTGTGGGAAAGAATTTTATCAGTGGTTGGAGCTATACTTGTATTTTATATTTAACACCCATGGGTCAGGAAGAGAACAACCCCCATGCAAGTTTTCTTATGAGTTACAATTCAGTTTTAATATGTGCATCATCCAGTCTGTACTAAAAGACAAAAAAACTTGGTAACAAAAAACATACTTGGCCAGGATGTATCTTCTTGGCTACACAAGCAAATGTGAAAAAGAAAGCTTGTTGATTTTTCTCCTCCACAGTGAAATCTTTTCTGTGAGAGAACAAACATTTACCTTCTGTAAATGGTTGCTTTTCCCTTTCCCTAAAGCTGACTATCCATTTAATGTTTTACATGTCAGCCTCACCTAATAGAGAGGGTATGTAGCCAAGTTTTTTTAAAAAGGTACCGAGTGGGATATTATAGAAAAGGAGGAGAAGACAAGCTTTAAAGCAGGAGTGTCAAACTCGCAACGTCACGTGACATGTCGCAATGTATTGTGACTTTTTTCCTATTGCCAGCAATGGGATGGGTGCAGTTTCGGCATGATGCATCCGGCTCTTGGGCCAGCAGTTTGACACCCCTGCTTTAAAGCTAGCAAACTTGGCTGTGGCTGTCTTAGCACAGAGGTTGGATAGTAACTATAATTCCTTCATTTTCTCCCTCATTGTTTCAGCAACCTCTCCTGGAGCCGGAAGGACTAGACCTGCTTGAGTCAAGTGCTCTAATGCATTTTTGCAAAACAAAACAAAACAACAACAAAAAAAACCTGATACCCAGCACCAAAAGTTTTGTTTTACTTTTAAAGCAATGCCAGAGAGGGATGTGGGCTCCTCTAACATTTCCAAATCACAGGAAAGTAATACTGTGCACTTTTCCTGTCATGTGTTAGCTACAACGCCAGGGTTTAAATAGAGAAGAGCCGTTCTGGATTCTGTTCACAAAAGTCATGTTTATATTTCCCTTTCCTGTTCAGCTTGCAAAAGACAAGGAACGCCTACAAGCAATGATGACACACCTGCATGTGAAATCAACTGAACCAAAAGCTACCCCTCAGCCTGTAAGTATCTGCACAGAGTACATAAAGCTTTCCCTCTGCTGATTCTTTGTATCCGAGAGGGCACCACAAATACCGCAAATTGATTAGTATATCAATTATTGCTAGAAAGATTGCTCTCCTAGTCTGTTATGAACATAACATAATAAATAGCCTTGCTGCCTTTTAAAAAATAAAGAGATTTATTATAAGGTTAGCTTTTTTGCATAGCAGCACACTTCTTGAGCATTATTCAAGAAATAAATTCACTACAATATTTGCAAAGTAAGTTCCCCATCATTTGGCTGACACACCTGTCCCACTGCATGTTTTATGACTTAGCCTCTACTGGTCCACATAGAGTTAAGGATTTAATTCCTAAGAAAACTGAAAAAGTAATATGTTTTTTCCAGGAAGATATGTGCAAAGTAATCTATTTTATTTTTTTTCTTTCAATTATACCTAATCAGGTTGCTGTTATTCTTGAGTCTTCAATTTGAATCTCTTCTTTCTGTCAGATAGAAAGATAGATGCCTGCTTACATGCTATTTTACAATCGGCATGACAATAAAATTGATAAACCAATTTGCTGTTATGGTTCATCACTACTTGCTGATTAATGTAGTTTATACAAACTGTAGATCATCAGCACTAAATTTTCATACAAGTAAAATCAAATTAGGCCATTTACCTACATATAGCTAAGAAACTAAGTAGCAAATCAATCCTTCAGCTTAAAATACTCACATGAAGTAATTAGGAATTTCAGAGTATTACCAGGAGAGGAATAAACTTTAAAAACCTCATATTTAAAAGGTTGTGGGGGGGCATAAGCTTTTAGGATAAGCAAATCTGATTTTGATATGTAAATTAAATTTTAATTTAAGATAAAGCATTTTATTTAAATCCCTGATCCCTTTCACCGTCTTAAAAAATCTATGTGCAGATTTTTCTGCAGAATATTTTTGAGTGGCAAAAAAACAGTGTGCTTGTTTTTCAAATATAAGGCAGAGCTAAGAAAGCCTTCATCTTGTGTAATCCTGTCTTCCTAAATTGTAACTCCCACGAAAGCTTGGATGATATGAAATAAGTTTATTTTATTTTCTTTCCTTGGATCCATCCCCAGATCTGCTCCTATATTCTCTAAAAGATAATAGCAGTGCATCTCCAGTCGCATCAAGAAGCAGGTAGATCTTAGGAGAGTGTAAATCATTGAAAAAAGTACTTTGAATAACAAGTGAAGGAAAGCTGCTTGAACCGTATCTTCACACACGTTTGGGACAACTACTTTGAGGATTTCCTTTGTGCTCACACAAAAAATACATTAGCTGATATTGTCAGCAAATAATATATGCACATATAGACAACCTGGGAAAAGCTCTCAAAGCTGCACACTGGGCCTTCAGGAGGTTGTGGTTACTTGTGTGCATAAGTTGTGGTTACTTGTGTGCATAACTTGTGTCCACACATAGCTAGAACTGTTTTACAAAGATTTTGGATTACCCCCCTCATTTTTCTCTAACAACCCCATCTGGCCCATACCAATCCTGATCCTTCAAGTAGAATCTTCAAAAGATTAAACAGCTGCAAGATGATGTACAGGTAGTCCTTGACTTATGACCACAATTGACCCCCAAATTTCCACTGCTAAGCACGACACTTGTTAAGTGAGTTTTGCTCCTTTTTACATCCTTCTTGCCACGGTTGTGAATCACTGCGGTTGTTAAGTTAGTACTGATAGTAGTAATGAATATGGCTTTTCTATTCACTTTGCTTGACAGAAGGTCACAAAAAGTAATCGCGTGGTGCCAGGATACCGCAACCGTCATAAATACTTGCCAGTTGCCAAGCATCTCAGTTTTGATCACATGACTATAGAGAACGTTTCAATGGTCATAAGTGTGAAAAGCAGTCATAAGTCACTTTTTACAGTGCTATAACTTCAGTCACAAAACAAATGATTGTAAGTCAAGGACTACCTGTATTTCAGAAGGTGAGTTGTGGATAACTATTATCTCTCCCTCTTCTTCCCCAGAAAGCCCTACAAAAAGAAGGTAGACCAACCAGCATGGCTAAATGTCAGCTGCAGAATGAAAATATCAGAAGGGCCAACATTTCCCCTTTGAGTATAAGAGCAATATGGCCAGAACAGTTTAGTCCACTCCCAAGTGCTCACTACTTAAAATTCAGGACTTTTTTTTTTTTTTTGCTAATAAATACTAGCGGTACAGAGATTCCAGAGTAAAAACTGCTGCACAACCAGTAAGTGGGTTAGCAGAGAAAGGAAGTAAAATTGACCAAAGGAAAGGAAATGAAGGATCCACTGTCTTCACCAGTATTAAAAATGTTTTACATTCTGAAAAATTATAGCTTTGATGGGGCCTCCCACTAAACTTATTTTTAACTGTTCTATTGAAAATTCTGCACCACTACTCAACATTATCTCTCAGTTGCTCTGCACAGTGTTTCTCTATTAAAAGAAATAGGCATGAATATTTTTGACTGAAAAATTAATAGCTTTTGAATTCGTACACAGCAGGTTTCTTTTCCAAAGCAGTCCAATATCACTGCACAGCACTTGTATAACCATTTATTTAGAGGCCAAGTCAAACCTTTGACAGCTAGGGCAGTGTTACAAGCCAACATAAAGAACTCCAAGATGTAAACCAACAATAGGCAGTCTGTGTGAGGTTTGCCATTGTCAAATGCATAGATTGTTTGGATTAGTTTATGTAAATGTACTGTTGTATTACCCTTTGGAAAAAAGATCGCATTTGTGTATGAAAAGTGGTTTCGTTCATAGGCAGCATTATAAATCCTTATCCTTTAACGTACACGTTAGAAGTAAAAATTGGCGCCTGACAGGACTATATTGTGTTACGCTGTTATTGGAGTGAAACAGCTTTCTTTTCATTTATTGAATATAGGAAATTTTATTACAGATATCTTCAAATAAATCAGAAATTATTAAAATATGTATAGGTGAAGAATTTGAAAATTAATTACAAAATGTAGAAATACAGTAGTCTTCATATATGCTGTCTTTGCAAGGATAGGAGAAGAATAACATCACAGAGCCAAAGTTTGGCCTTTATACATTTACCAGCATATAATTCTGACTAGAAGTCAGTTGATGACCAAAACCACAGCACTCAGTCCTTTTTACACCCCATAATTAACATTCTGTTCTCCTCCTTATCAGATGTAAGGTATAAATTAATTATAATATTTTGTATTTTTTAAAAAGAAATTGGAACTTAAAATTCTAGTTTTTTTAAAAAACTGCATAGATGTTGATGCCCCAAAGAGTAATTGACTTGGTCTTTTTCGATCAGGGAAAGTTGATGAGAAAATTTTGAGAAGTAGTGGTCCCTACCTTAAAATGAGCATGATAATCTCAAAAGCAGGTACAGTTTTGGGGGGCAATGAATTTTCTTGTAAAATATGACTTGGTTATCATAGATATTTCTGGCCGGATCAAATGTAGGGGTGCATGAAGTAGACTGAAACATTTTGAGTTGATTGTTCCACTGTAATTCAATGTCTTGAGAGTTCAGTGTTCAGTTAGAACAGGGATCTTCAAACTTGGCAACTTTAAGACTTGTGGACTTCAAATCCCAGAATCCCCTAGCCCAGCATGGAATTCTGGGAGTTGAAGTTCACAAGTCTTAAAGTTGCCAAGTTTTAATGGCCACTGAGGTGGAACAACTAAAGTTGGCACATTCTGAATGCTCTAGTGCTGGGAAACAATTATTGCAAGCTGATTTAGTTTGTCATTGTGAATAGCTCCAAGTATTCCCATGAAGAATGCCATATATGCTGCTGCTGTGGTGCTGAATGTTATCTGTCTTCATATCTCCATGGCTTTGCAAGAAGATACTCTCTGGTTTCAGTCTAATTTTTATACTCAAGGGAGACCCCATTTACAACCAAGCATTACACAATATAATTAGAAATCTAGTATTGTGCACTGGTATTTTTTATTGTCATGGGTGCTCTCATTAGATTTCCATATGTTTCTATATATGCATGTATTTGTGACAGAAATGCAAGCATGTATATTATAACATAATAATTGTAATACCATTATTTTCAAGCATTCTTGGTGATGAGGAAAACTAAGGTGCCAGGTGCTGTTAGATGGCACTGCTTAGCCACAGATTGCTTCTTCACAAAAGAAAGAAGGAATGCATTCTTCTTTCTTTGGTAGTTTTTTTTTCTTTTTTGCATACCTGGCTGTACATCCATCTTTATCGAGCTGACATAACTGTTGGCTATTTTTTATATATTTTCCTTTACCCTAACCACAGCAATTACGATTGTTTTGAAATCCTGTTTTTAGCAACTGTAAAAACAAAGCATTAAAAATAGCCTTTTAACTGTGAGGTAATGACTGAGCATTTTAGCTGCTGTAGTTGTACTTTATAGTTTGAAAAATAATGGTATGTAGCAATAGAAAAAAGAGATTTGTAAGTGCAACACACAAAAAAGCTGTTTTTATATACCGTTTTTCATTAAGTCCCCATTCTTCAACTTGAGTTTCCTTTAGTATCCTGGCCAATAACAACACCTGCTAAGTGATCATTGCCTGCCAAATCTTGTGTTTCATAGAGTTATATATATTTTCTAAAGATGCGTACATAAAATGTTCATGGGTGAAATTTAACAGTCCTGACACCCATCCACTTTCAAGGTCTCGCTGGGATTAGTGCCATTCCATTTCACCATTCCCAAGACCCAGTTACAGCAACCGTTTGAGCCCCAAATAAAACAATGAGCACCCATGTCAGAGAAATCCTTGACCTTAAGCAGCACAGATGGCCCCAGAAGAGCTTACTGATTTTTACATAGGAAAAACACACTATATATCCCCTGCTATCTTCCTTGTGGCTTTGTTGCTGGTCTTGTATATGTCCTTCAGACATAGACCAATGGAAGCTACTTTAAAAACAAACAAAAAATACATCTCTCTCTCTCTCTCTCTCTCTCTCTCTCTCTCTCTCTCTCTCTCTCTCTCTCTCTCT